GTTATTCTCATCGTGAATACCTAGGGGAGTGAGTGCATGGCTTGCGAGGTGTAATAAGGGTGAAGCTGAGAATCATTTGTGTAAGGGTGTAATTTTTGCACGAAGCTGATAATATTTGTAACAGGTGTCTTTTTCACGAAGCTAAAGAATCAGTTAATAAGTGCGTAATTGTTTGCACGAAGCTGAAAATGATTTATACGAATTTGCAGATTTTGAACGGGGCTGAGAACAATTCGTACGAATCTGCAGTGTCTGCACGAAACAGAATAATTTGTGTGTTTTTTCATGAAACTGATAATCTTTTATACGAGTGTATTTTTGTACAAGTCATGAGGCCGAAAAACAAAGATGATAAACCATTTATGTAAGTTTTACTTTCCCATCAAATTCTTATAGCCATAATACCGACGAAGTGTGTGACAGTGTATATACACAGCCTGCGACTGAGAAACACATAACAATCAGGTAATTTTTTGACAGAGCCAGTGTGTGTACAGCAATGGTGAAGTTGACAATCATGTGCACGTGTGTAATTCTTGTTCAAGACTTTTGAAGCTGCTTGAGAAGACAAGTGAAGCAAGAAAGATCGACCAACAAAGTTGACAAATTCTGAAAATTAGAGCCTGGAAGTGAATAAAATGGCAAATTTCGAATATTTCTATTATTGAAATATTCATTTAGCTTAATCTTATCAGACGATCCCACTTCATAGTATAAATGGCCAACTATCTCTATAGATGAAAATGTGAAATATGTACGTATATATTTTTAATAAAGTACCATCTCATTCGCATTGCTATTTGACCTATCTACTCATTCTAAACAAAAAATTGTCTGAAAAACAGAATTCCAAGATGGCACTGATATCGGCTGAACCTACTATCTTCATGTATATGGCATCTTACGGGATTCTGGTAAGTACTGGAGAGAAAGTTACTTTAGTTAGCCCGTACATTATTTACATTTTCTTTGATACAAATAAAGGTTGAACTATGATAACTTCCCTTTTTACGGATGAGTTTCGTAGTCTATGTATGTAACTGCAATCTTTACCTTACTATGATTCGTGATTTGATTTTTCATATTCTCAAGAAAATTTGTCTCTTGCAAAAATCTCCCACACAGATAATCTTAAGCCAGGATTTCATCTTGTCTCGCCTGTGTTTTGCGCAACTCGGAGACCCAGACTGTGGGAACAGCAGTACCCCTTCAGCGTCCTCTCAGACTTCCCCCTCTTCCTTCACCTCACCTCTTCACTTTTACCCGAATCCCGAAGGAGAATGGACGCCCGTAGGAGAGACAGCGGATCAGAATTCTAGGGCTCGGGAAGTGCAGGAGGAGGCTGTGAGGCTGTACATGGGCGCGACCATCACCCTCTCCGTGACCTCCATCCTGTCGTCACAATTCCTGGGGCACTGGATGGACAGGTTGTGGATGCTTATAATGATAGCGATAATGAAGATGGTGATGATGATAAGAAAATATATTAATGGTGATAGCAGTCATGATAATTATAGTGATTGTGGTAATGATAATAAAATTATATTAATAAAAAATGATGATGATTATGTGATGATGGTGGTGACATGCAATAATATCTCTCCCTGCAGGTGTTCAAAGAAGGTGCTTATGATTGCGCCTGTCGTGTGCATGATCATGTGGGCACTTGGAATCGTGGTTCTGGCCACTTTTCCTCAGCTGCCCATCTACCTGATCTTCATCGCCATCGCCATCGGCAACATCTCCGGCGGATACGTGACTCTGAAGGTACGCATTTGATAGAGAGTTTAGTATCCTACTTAGGTTCATAGTAGCGCCTTATATAGTATTATTAATGGTCGAGTTCCATAATGAAATTCATGGAACATCAATATGTACCATGTTAATATTCCTGCTAGGATTGAGTAGTCTGTTAATACTGATGGCTGTCGGATGATATGTAAATGCTCATGGTTGTGTCAAATACCTTATCGAAGCAAACGGCAGCGTTGATTACCATGTGTTAAGTGCAGCATTAAGGAACGTCACTAATTCTAAATGATGATTAGGTCGATTAACAAAAACAATTTATTGGTTTTAGTATATTTATCCAATCCTCTCTATTCTATCAAAATCATTACTTGTTAATTTGGACAATGAAACAATGCCCCAGCCTCCCCTCTCTAACAGTCGGCGGTGACGAGCTACGTGATCCAGAAATCCCCCGAGAGCCAACGGACAGTCCGGCTCAGCATGCTCGAGGCGGCCATCTTCCTCGGGGGCGCAGTCGGCCTCCTCTCGCTGCCCTTCCTCACGGACTACCTCGGGGCAACACATGCTGTGCTTTTCTTGGGTGTGTGTTTGCAGTCAGTCATTTTTCGTTGCCTCTGTATCTTGACTGTGTGCCTCACTATCTGAGTGACTCTCCCTCTCTCTTTAACACCGTTACTCAGAACTACATTTCCTCGGACTACTGCAGGTGCGGAGGGCTTGGCGGTTATTAACTTCCTATACATCATATTCATCCTTCCCGACGATGGAGGCTCACCACGAAGCAGCAACGTGGGTGAAGATGAAGTTGACTCTCCTGGCCAGTCCCCCCCCAGTGACCACAATTATGGCACTTTCCAGGGGACTGGGCATTCTGTTCTTTCACAGGGCAGTCACATCACCGCCAGCCGCCACACAGTCGCCGACATCATCGAAACGTCTCCAGAGGGTGAGGACTGTGGGGACTACTCCGTCCTTCCGGTCAGTCTCAGAGGAGGTGGGAGTCGCTCCGGCACTCCTCCCGAGCTCACTGTTAAACCGGAATCCCCGGACAACCATAGTCCATATGGCACTCCCACTCCTGACATGTTCTCGCAGGAGAACTACTTGCATGCCCGCCATGCCCTCAGCGCCGCCTTCGGAATAGTAACGAGTGTGGCGGGGATGTCCAACCCGGCCAGCAGGTATGGGACTCCTCCCGAATACCCGTCAGACCTGCAATATGTCCCAGGTGATGTCTCGGAAGACGTCGGAAGATCTCGGAGTCGTTCGTATCCTGCACCAAATTCAACGCCGATTAGCGTGCAACAACGATCTGCAAAAGCATGTGAAGTAAAGGCTGGCGTAGTAAAGGGAGTCTCCATGCGCGACGACCTCTTGACGTCAAGGTGGGGCGAGCGTGTCGGATTCGAGCGAGCGGTTGATGAAGTGGACAGTGAAGAAGCGCCGAACACTTCGGGCCGAGCGTCATCATCACTGTACCCGGAAATCATGACAGTAACTCATAGCTTTTGCTTAACTGATGACTCCAGCCATTGCAGTGATGATCACCGCAGTCACTGTACTGATTCTTGTATCAGTGACGTTTCCCATCCTAGCTTCGATCACTGCCACTCCGACGGCTGGCTGGGAGACGGCCATTGTCCCGACGGTGACCATTGCCACTGCGACGACCCGGGCGATGCGTGCGACGGCCAAGTGATCCCGCGCGCATTTACCAGAGACCCTCAGAGGCCTGCTTCCTCTGAGAGCCTTTATCACGAAGCGAATGCCAAAGAAGAGAAAGGATATGAAAAATTAAAGGAGGAAGAAAGAGTCTCAGCAATAACTCAAGCGAAAGGAGAGAAATATGAGCGAGAAGACGATGGGGAACACGATGGCGTTTTTGGACGTCTTCTCGATGCTTTGAGGACAACTTTCCGGTACCGGCCAAACGGCGTCCGAAACATGGTCGTCGCGTCCGTCATTGCCAACTTCTTTATATCCTTCGTTGTACCAGGTGCGTCTCTTGTTGGAAGTGCATACAAACGTAAAAAAACGAAATTAAATCCCAGGAGAGAATGACCTTTTTTCTCTGTCTCTGTCTGCTCCTACCCCCCCCCTCTCTCTCCAGAAACTTAACACCCCCTCATCACTTTTCCCGTTCATTCTCAGCGGAATCGGATGTCATCTTCCTGTACGTGAAGGCCAAGCTGGGCTGGTCCTTTACCAGGTACGCAACCTTTTTCGCTCTCAAGTGCGGCGTGGACGGCGTGGCGCTCCTGTTGCTGCTACCGCTTCTGCGCCGCTGTCTGGGCCTCAGGGACGCCTCCCTCGGTGTCCTGGGAGGCCTGAGTCGCGCTGCCTACTTCATTGTGTTGGGCAGTGCCTACAAGCCCTCAATGGTATTTGGGGGTAAGTTGGAATAGTACGCTCATTTTAGTGTTTTTGTGGTTGAATGTGTGCGTATGTCTGTTTGTTTATGTGTGCAACAAAATTTTGCATGTTTGTATATAATGTGCAATACTTACGTTCCACGACTTTATCTTTACAGCTCTGGTGACCGCTGTCTTCGGGCAATATCTGTTTGTAAGCGTTCGTGCTATCATGTCAAGTCTCGTGGGCGAAAATGAACAAGGTAGGCCTACTTCTAAAATGGAAATGAATCTGAAATAGACGACTAGTTCATTGCAAACTTTACGAGACCAATCATTTTTTTTCACTGATTTATATCTACTAATTTATGTCACAATATTATGTAACTAGCTTTCATGCGCCTAGACTTTCTGAAATAAACCATTTATCAGTTTGAAAAATATGTTTTTACATATATATAAACATTCTACATCTATAACCATTCCTTTAACAACCCACAACTAGGGCTCCCAAGGGAAGACCCACAGTTACTACTATCCTCCAGTCACAAGTTGAACTATTTAAACTGGTTATACTATTCACGACCCACACCCTCTGGATAAAATCAACGTGATGTTTGTAGAAATTAAAAGCGAAAAGTAATTTTGAAATCCTAAAATGATAAATCCTCGGCACTAAGACTACAATTATGAATTTTTATCATGATGGCCCACAATCACAATTTGCCATTATAAACTTTTACCATTACTAGCCACAGTTAGGACAATTATCACAGTTAAGACAGTGCCCACAGCAAAATCGATTACCTTCGCTACCCCCAATTAAGACTATATCACGAGCACCCGCAGCTGATCCTTACCCCCCTTTCGTCACCCAGGCCGAGTCTTCACAGTGCT